GGGGAGAGTCACAAAATAGCATGAAGAAGCAACCAAACAGCCCAATTCCAGAGGAGGAAGCCACCCTGGATTTCTACAGGTGTTTTTCCCTGAATGGAGCCACTAGCTTTTATTTGCAATAAGCCGAGGTCTGGATGCAGTGTTGATACTTTCTCTAAATATTTTCCCTTGTGTCATTTTTAAAGATGGCATAGGATTATCCAGCACTCACTCACATACCCTGACAACTGGCAAACACACAGAGGTAAATGCCAGAGGAAACATTCACACTTCCAGTGCATTGAACTGGCATCCGACAAGCAGCTATGGAGACAGAAAGTGTCACCAGAAAATACAGTGACAGCTTTCTAAGAACCGTGAAATGAGAGAGAACAAGATGTCTCTGATAAAATTGTATTCATGTTTCCATGGAAGAAATTCTAATGTGTCTGTAAAGGAATAAGGAAAAAGTCATATTCCGTGTTCATTTTTACACCTGAGTCTTACATATACATTTATGCTTTTACAACACTAAAGCAAAAGCCACAAGGGAAAAATGCAAAAGCTATATTCTGCTCTGTAAGTAAATTTATCATCACATTTGCTCTCATTTCCTTCCACCCATTTATCTTTTCACGTTGCCAAGAAGAGCCCTGGGAATAATCACCTCCCACACCAAAAGCTGGGGATATGATAATGGGCGACTGATGATGAGAGATGACATTTTTAAATAGTCGCTTTCAACTTCATAACATATATTTCATCTTTAACCATGTATACACTGCTCCAACTCCTGGATTTAAAAAGGGAAGGGGGTCTGTGTGGAAGATGGCCCAAAAGCAAGCATAAATTCACCAAAACTTTGTATTGGTTAAAAAAAAAATGCAGCCCAGATCGTGTCATTTATGTAACAGTGATCTTAAAATACAAGGCCTAGAAAAAGGTCACTGTCTATCTATCTAAATGACTTCCTGGTTAATATGAGTCAAAGTCTGAGTTTTTGAAATATCATATAATATTAATAAAACTAAGGGAAAATAAATGATTCTTTGCTGTATTGAGAAACACATACCTTGTATCGTTCGTGGAAGAGGCTGGTACCACTTTGCAGAAAGTGGCAACATATGTGAAGGAACCAATTTGGGACATTCACATATTGTTCCCTACAAGCTCATAATACTGCAAAGAACCACAGGAATTTGTTTAGTGTGATACCAACACACTCACACCCATAACACGTGTCACAACCAGCCGGGTAGACCTCAGCCATGCCGTCACACAGCATGTGTGGCTGATCGTTTCTGCTTCCTCCAACCAAATCCACACCAAGTTACAAAGGAGGGGCTCGTCTGTAGCCCGGTGGCACTGCCAGCCACTCCCTCACCAGCAAGCAGATGTCTGCAGAACTGTTTGCTTAAAGCTGCTAAAATACGACAGCAAAGTTATCTTAGGAAAGCAACACCCTGACATCTACGTAAAAGATCCCTCCACACATGTGCATAGGGAGGTACAGGCAAAGATGCAAAACGGGAGAGGAGAGGAGAGGAGGGAAGTCAGGGAGAGGGAGGAGGGAAGGGAGGGGGAGGAGGAAGAAAGTAAGAGCTGAGAAGGTAGGAGTCCTCTGTTAAATGCTAATAAGAGCATTCTGTAGAACTATAATTCTCCTGCAGAAAATTTTACTTTTCATCTTTACAACATTTTGCATCTGGTTGGCATTCTTTGTTAAGGGTGTTGAAGCAATAATCACCTCTCTTTCCAAGCTGGGAGACTTGGCTTCCTCTGAATCTTGTCCTGGTGGTCACACAGGCAGCACAACCTGCTTTGCTCCTCATCGTGGGGCAGCCTGGGAGCGCCACACAATTCCTGCACATAGCAGGGATTTGTGCCTGGATGGAGCGCCAAAAGGAGGTGAACACAGTCACCACAAACATTCCAGGTCCTCTTCCACTGAAAATCATGGGAAATTCACATAATGAAATGCCAAAGAAATGAATTTAGAATCCAAGATTCATAGGCAACCGCAACAAATGACAGAAATATTCATGGATAGAACTTAATAGTGTTAGGCCATCAGTTTCCCCAGATTCATCCACAGAGTCAATGCAATGCCAATCAATCTATCTACAATCAATCTAATCTATCAATCAATCTACAAAGCAAGCACTTTGTAGAAACTGATGAGGTGATTCTAAAAATAAAGGACTAGAACAGGCAAAATGATTTGGTAACAAAAGAACAAAATTGGAAGATGTAAAATACTTGATTTCAGTACTCACCATAAAATACAATAATCAAGACTGTGTCAGCCCAGAGTTCATGAGTTCAGAGCCCAGGTGCAGACCGACACACTGCTCATCAAGCCATGCTGTGATGGCGTCCCATATACAAAGTGGAGGAAGAGTGGCACAGATGTTAGCTCAGGGTCAATCTTCCTCACTTAAAAAAAAAAAGAAGACAGGATGTGAGAAGGAGCTGGCACTCCTATATTTACGGTGGGAATGTGCAGTGGCCCCAAGCCCCCTACTCTATGGGTCCTACACCAGCTCAATTCACAGGTTCATACAACAGGCCCGGCCCCACCAAGCTTCTGAGTTGCACAGCCTGCTCTAAAGCACTGAATCTTGCCGAGAAAGCCATGAAAGGGGGCTGTGTCCTCCGGCTCTGGTCCTGGGTTCTAAATCACTACCAATGCAGTGGCTGCCGGGCTAGGAGGAGCTAAGCAAGCCTTCCTCAGGTAAAGTCTCGATTTAGGTTATTAGCAAAAAGCCTGCTGTTGTTACCTCAGGTGACCTAAATATCCAAGCCTGAGGGTTTTTTTTTTTCCTTCTTCCTCGTGCAAATGAATTTCTCCAAGAAGACTACAGCAATGGTTCTCAAAGCGAGAGCCTGGACAAGCAGCATCTGCATGACCTGGGAGGGGGTTCAAGAGGCCCCACCGCAGACGTCCTGAGTCGGTCTGCATCTTCCTGGGATGTGCAGGTTCAAGGGAGAAGCGCTGCCAGGCCACAAGGAAGGCTCCACTGGGATGCGGCAGGTGAACGCCTTCACAGCCTGTGCGCTGCTGCTAAAAGGATGCAGTCCTTGCTCTGGGGAGGGCCCCCGGCAGGGGCCGCGGGATGGAGGCGCTGGCTGCAGCCGGAGGCGGCTCTGCAAGGGGTGGGGCGTGTCCCGGAGACATCCTCAATTTTGCAAGCAAGCTCAACTGTGGTTAAACGACTTGAGACAGCTGCTGCGTCTCAGCGGCGTTAGGTGAATCTCGAAGCATAGGAAGCGGAGGAAGGAAGTAAAAAGGCTCACAGCCTTCTAAGACCTTCAGGAGGCCCTTCTGAAAACCTGATAAAAATTGTGACATCCCTTTCCTAGAAACACACACACACATTTTACACACTCTCTTGGGGAATGCACAGATTTCCTGGTCTCCAGTGCATGGGCCCCAGGTTAAGAATTCCTGCTTTGGGGACCGGCACAGAGACAGGGGTGCAGAAACAAAAGACTTAAAAAGAATATATTTTTTTCTAAAGTGGAAAAAAGTGACTAAGTTTCAACACAAAAGAAATACAGATGCTTAGAAATTATCCAGACCCAGGCAACTTAATCATACAGAGGAAACAAAAAGACCAAAAGTATTTTATCGTATCACCTGGCTTTGTCACCAGATCAATATGACACTTTCTCACCTAAAACGTCACCTTCCCAGGCTCCTGGAAGCACCAGCTGCTTCAGCCAACCCTGGTTTCTCGCCCTAGCATTTGGGAGGCTGGAATATCATCAGGGGCCACCTGACCCAGAGACTCCATAAGGGCACAGGAAACGTTTGGACTTAAGATCTCTCCAGAAGGGTGAATAATGGACAACTCATCACTGAGAAGTTGAAAGTTTCTGCCTGATCAGGGAAGGGCTATTCAGCACCAGGAAGGCCCTGGCACTGGGGCCACCAGCCAAGGAGGTTCCCCAGAAAGGAACCCCACATGTTAATTCCTTCTACCATACTTTTTGAGGACCTACGTGTGCAGGCACCACTCTAAGATGCCGAGGCCAGGACAGACGGATCCTCCATCCGGGTGTTCAAGATCTGTGGAATCTCAGGGCTTCTTACACCTGTGAGACAAGCACCGTCAGACCATCCAGCACCTGTGTCCTCCACTTTAGGGCTCAGGTAGGGCGCTCTACCTGGGGCCTCCTACCTGCCCGTCAAGGTGCAGGTGCACCGCTCTCATTCAACTCCCTCCCCTCCCTCGGAAGACAAAGCTGGAAAAAGCAGCCGTTCGAATCGGATTCCCAGCTCTCCTGCGATTTTTTCTCATTTGCTAATTTCTTTTCGCTTTTTATAAGCCCCTGTTACCTCTGCACAATAATTCCAACGACTCTATGAACAGCAAAAGAAGGAGGAGGACAACGGAACCAAGTTTATCATCAGCTAGTCAGAAGCAATGATCAGTAATGCATGTTTTAATTTGGAAAATGTTCTTCAGGAGTGTTTTTCTAATTAGGGAGCTGCGATGAGGTTTGCACAATATCTCAAGCACTCTGGGTGCAGCATTTCAGGGTTCCCGTCCCAGCGTCTGAGGGTAAATGTCCATGCGTGTTCCACTCACCTGCCCAAACCTTGACATTTAAAGCAACTTGGTGAACACAGCTTCCTGGCATTTTTAATTTTCCCTATTTACCTGCACACCTGCATGGTGGGCTGTGGACGTTCTTAATATATGTCCCCATATACTGTACAAGCTCCACTGGTACCAGGAGGCAAAGACACATGTAGCAGAATGTTCTGTGCAGCAAAAAAGCTGCAGACAACCCAAGGCCTAACTCCCAGAAACTGATTAAATCAGTTGTGACAACAGCCGCTGGATGGAAAACCATGCAGCTATTAAAGAGAATAAGGTAATCCATCCACGCATAATGGCCATATTATAGTATTTACGGCAGTATGTATAATTTACTATACAATACTGTAATATTATACATCACATTAATGAATAATAAAAATTGTTAATCATATTTATTAAACAATATATGCTATTATTTATGGTGATATTGTATTATGTACTACAAGCCATGGTATTAGTTAACACGTCATACCTTAAGTCATGAAAAATCAAAGTGCAGAGAACTGTAAAGTCAGTCCCTGGGGATGAAAACAAAAGGGCACGTGTGAATATATAGATATGAACGCACCTATCAATCGCCCGGAGCAGCGGGGCCCAGCCTTTCCCGCGCAGCAGCATCACCCCGGGGACCTGTTCACGCCCGGATTGCTGGGCTCCGCCAGCAGGTCTGATTCGGCAGGTCCTGGGTGACCGGAGAAGCTGCATTTCCAAGCAGCTCCCAGGCGATGCCCGGGACACGCTAGGCAAAGAGTGGCAATTTGGGAAAAGAGGAGGTTTCAGCTTTTGATTTCAGAAAACTCTCGCCAGTTATCCAACAGCCCTTGCTGAGCGTCTGGCTGCTCCGTGCAGGGCACCCGTGGGCTGCCCGGGGGTTGGGATAGTAAAGAGCACTGCCACCATTCCCCCGCTTCCCGGGTGCCTCACCCTAGAGGGGAAACTGAGGCTCCGAGACAGGAGGTCCAGCGTCGCGGAGTAGCTCTGGCGGAGCTGGGATTCGAACCCGATGATCTCAGAGGCCGGCAAGCGTCCCGCCCGCTCCCGAGTTCCAGACGCGCCTCCTGCCGAGGCGGAGGGGACTCGGGGACTCCGCCCCGGCCGCCCGCGAGGGAGAGGGGGACCCCAAGCCCGGCCGGCCGCCTGCCCGGAGTGCTCGGGGAGCGGCAGGCGCGCGCCCGCGGGAGGCCCGCCCCGCCGGCTGGGGCGAGGGGGCAGGGCCGCGGCCGGGCGCGCGCGCGCGCGCGTTCGTGCTCGTGCCCGCGGGGCGATCTCGCGGGAGCGACGCCAGGATAGAGGTTCGCTGAGCCGCCATTCTAACGCAGGCGCGGTGGCCAAGTGGTAAGGCGTCGGTCTCGTAAACCGAAGATCACGGGTTCGAACCCCGTCCGTGCCTGGCGTCGCTGGTCCCCGGCTAGGGGGCGACTTTTTAGGGGTGGGACCACTTTTCTGGAGTGGTCCTCAGTAGTCTACGCTGCCGGCATTCCGCATTTAGGTCCTCGCCCCTGGGTGCCGACCGGCCAACTGTTTTCACGCGGTTTGGGATCAAGCTCTCCTGCCGCCCTCGCAGAAGGTCAAGTCTGGGTGGTCCGGCCGTGCATTCCGCTCCCTGCGGGCACGCAGCGCCCCCTGCCGTCCCCGGGCCCCTCGTCCCCCCGGGAAGGTGGAGGACTCGGGCTGCGCCAGGGTCGCAAACTCTAGGGCCCCAGGGGTCACCCCGAAACCGTGCCGCCAGCCAAGGTCCCCCCGCCCTCCGGGCAAGAAACCCACAGCCGATGGCGCTTGGCTCGAGGGCCACGAAGCATTTTTGCGAACATCGCAGTCCAATTTTATCCTCTAATGAGAACTGCCGTCGCCTGACACCGAGCCCACACCCAGAGTCAGCTGGTGTCTGGCTCGCTATTTTTAAAAGGAAATCCGTTGTAGGCACTGCATTAGAGAGAGGAAATCCTGCCCAGACTTGGAACAGTTCTGACATGAAAATGTAGACCTGTCTCCCCGGGCCCTCGTTTGCCCCTCTGTAAAATGGGTCTCTGGCCAGCGCTGGCGTTCGTGAAGCAGCTGCCAGAGGGACTGGCCGTAGCGACGGCCTTAGGAAATGGGGCGACCGTCATATGGCACCTGTTTGCTTCGCGTCACGAAAGGATGCCCACGGGCCTGCTCGAGTGCATCTAAAGATACTGCGCAATGACCTCGACCTCCAGGAGCTGGCGTCTAGAACAATCTGAAAACCAGCCTGACCTAAAGGCGGGAAACCTGCATCAATTCGAGATTCCTGATTAAAGGAAGCGTTGATGGAGCTCCTGGTGTATGGCTGGTAGAGCGGGGCTCTGCGGGTGCCTCGGGGAACAAGCCGGAATCAGGGCGGGCTCGCTCGGACAGCGAGAGGTGGCGATGGATGTGATGGGGGGCGGGGGGCCTGGCAGGAGCGCTCAGCGGCCAAGGGTCCCCGACCCTACAGCAGTGGCTCTCACACTTGTGAGCGTTTATCAGCATCCCCTGGAGGGTTGTTAAACCCCGGATCGCTGGGCCCCACCCCCAGAGCTTCTGCAATAGGGAAATCTGAGCTGGGGCCTGACATTTGCGTTTCTAACCAGCTCCCAGGTGGTGCTGATGCTGCTAGTTCCAGACCACACGGAGAACCACTCTTCTAAAGAGCGCCGTATTCTAAAGCCGCATTCTACGTGTGACTTCAGTTCACTCATATGCGAAAGATAAACACACAGATACGGAGAACAGATTGGTGGTTACCAGAGGGGAAGCGGGTGGGGGGAGGGCCAAGGGGTAAATGGGTGCAGATGTACGGTGACGGATGGAAACTAGACTTCTGGTGGTGAACACGAAGCAGTCTATACAGAAGTGGAAATAGGATGACGTACAACTGAAATTTATATAATGTTTTAAACCAATGTGACCTCAATAAAAAAAAAATTTTTAAGCCACATTCTAAACCCAGGAGCATGTGCGTATGCATGCATACAAATACGTAAGTGACACATAAAACTAGTGCACACCAGTGCCCCTGCCGCTTCAACCTGGGGGTCACGTTAAAACACAGGTTCTGACTCTAGGTCCAGGGTGGAGCCTGAGACTCTGCATTTCTAACTTTCCTCTTGGCAATGGGAATGCGGCTTGTCCCCGCCCACAGTGAGCAGCCAGAGGACAGAGGGATGTCCACCAAAGTAACAGTTGTTGCCTCTCGGGAAGGAAGCAGAATGGGGGAGCTGTGGAAAGGATTCCTTCATTCTTATCCTGTCACCCTTCACATTGTTGGGGTTTTCTACAAGAGGATTGTATTACATGGCAATTTTCTTCTTCCAGAATCACCTCCAAAGGCCACAAACATGAAGATAACCTATTACAATCCAGGCACATTGGAAGGATCCAGAATTAAGACAGATGAATGACAGTGTTCTCTTCTCTCCACTGGGGCATCCATTCATTTCTTTTTTAAGTGCCACAAAAGAATGCTTATGTTCCTCCCCATTAAAAATACACCAAAATGGGGGCCACCGCATGGCCAAGTGGTTAAGTTCTTGTGCTCCACTTTGGCAGCCCAGGGTTTCACCGGTTTGGATTCTGGCCGCGGACATGGCACTGCTTGTTGGGCCATGCTGAGGTGGCGTCCCACATAGCAGAACTAGAAGGACCCACAACTAAAATATACAACTATGTACTGAGGGGATTTGGGGAGAAAAAGCAGAAAAAAAAGAAGAAGAAGAAGATTGGCAACAGTTGTTAGCTCAGGTGCCAATCTTTAAAAAAAAAAAAACAAACAAAATAGCAGCCGACCCCATGACCTAGCAGTTAAGTTCAGCACACTTCACTTTGGAGGCCCAGGTTGGTTCCCAGGCCCAGACCCATGCCACTCGTCCGTGATGATCCACATACAAAATAGAGGGAGATTGGCATGGATGTTAGCTCAGGGCCAATCTTCCTCAAGGAAAAAAGAAAAAATTATATATATATACACCAAAATAGTCCTCCCCGTTAAAGAAAAAAGACCACACTGCCCCCCACAGGTAGGCCAGAGCATGCCCACACAGGTCATCCTGTCTTTCCCTCTCAAGAGAGAAACAGCTCCCCCTCAGTGACATCATCCTAGGATAGAGCCTGTTCTTATCCACCCCTACCACTGCCCCCACCCCACCCTACCCTCCACAGGGTGCCCCCCCCCAACCCCAGGTGTAGAAGGACTTCAGAAAAAGGCAATTTATATAATTTACTGTAGGTACCATTTATGCAACAAAAATTGCACAAAATATCTAAGGGTCTTTATTCACGTGTAGAGAAGTGCCTGCTGGTTTTTTCTTTTTAAGCCCAGACGATCACACATGAATCTCAAAACTGGTCACCTCTGGTTGAAATCTGGCCATGCCATAGAGCTGCAAAACCAGTTTGGCACAGGCTGCAGAATTAGAAACCAGTGAGCAAAATGCTGGATTCGGGTCCTGTTTACACTTAGACGGCTGAAGCTGATCACGTGTCTGAATAAGCAGGACATTTTCTGTTGATTTAAACCACTTGCATTCATGAATACATAAAGCCGTGTTTGGATTTCTATAACTCTTGTACGAATTTCACGTCTGAAAGTCACCTTGAAGTCAGCTGTCTTTGTTCCGTGGATGACTCCCTTTCTGGTCTCCCTTTGATAGGTAAACGGAAGAGAAGAAGGGCCCTGATGCTGGGGCTGGGAGGAAAGAGGGCAGGTGTCAGTGGGCCTAGAGGGACCCTCTGGGATCTCGCGTGCAAACTTGACCCCTGGGGAGAAGGTGGATTTGCATAAGGAGCCCAGGGCTTTCTGGGAAACAAGAAATTAAACTCTTCCAACCCACCTCTCTGTTATTCAAAGTTAGAAAGACCTGTAAGGAAAGGTCGTGACAGTCAGTGACAGAAAAGGGTTTAATAGGACTTTGAAGCAAGAGGGAGCCCAGGATCCTAGTGTTAGCGTGCAAGGGCTGTTGGTCAACAGAGGCTGCGCAGGAGCAAGTCTCAACACTGCCACCATGTGGTAGCATCGAGCAAGAGCAGTGCTGGGTTGATTTCTCGCCGCCCCCCATCTACCGGGAACCCATAGGGAGCCGTGGACCAGCCACTTAACCTCTCTGTGCCTCAGTTTCTCCCATTCTAAAATTGGGATGACACAGTCACTGGCTTCCCCTCTCATGGAGCTCTTCTGATGACAACATTGTAAGCGTCCACCAGCCAGGATGGCTCAGTAAATGACGAGCCATCCACCTCAAGGTGTCCTGGGCAGCCATTCAAAGGGATAATTGATTTATTGATCGGAAGGGGTGATAAGGAGATACAGTTAATTGAGAAAAGTTGATGGCCCATTTTTTGGGTTTTGTTTTACAGATGTAATTGATATACAAAAAACTGTACATATTTAGTGAATACAATTTGATGAATTTGGAGATAGGCATCCACCTGCGATATCATCTCCACATTGAAGGGAATAGACATATCCATCACCTCAAGTTTCCCGTGTCCCTTTTCTGTGTGTGTCTGTGACAAGAACACTTAACATGAGATCTACCCTCTTCAGAAATTTGTAAGTACACAGTGTGGTGTTGTTAGCCTGGGCCCCATGTGGCACAGCAGATTTCTAGAACTTAAGCATTGTGTATAATTGTAACTTTAGTTGATGTCCTGTTTTTGTAAAAATAAATAAGCATATTTATCAATATCTGGATGGATGTGTATATTGTTTTTTTGCAACGTGGAGAAAGTCCACATCCCCCCGTGGAAGGCTCCACGTCCTGCTATTGACAATGAATACTGCCAGGTGGGGCGGGTGAGAAGGGGAGAGGAATTGCAGAGAAAATTACTAATTTTTCCCTCACAGCGTGGCGTTGGAAAGAAAAGCTGTTACTTCCGAATTCACTATTTTTGCAGCAAAAACGTATAAAGTTCACAACAGAAAAAAGAGAGAAATTATACGGAGCAAACAGATGTCAGGGCTCTGGAGAGGCCAGGCGTTAACACAGAGCTGGCGCTGCATCAATAAGATGCCACGTGGCCAGTGAAAAAGCTCAGTCTTGCCATCCCGCGGACCCCCTCCAAGGGGAGGCCGCCGCTCTGCTGCCCTGGCGCAGCTCCCATCGGGGCTGACATCATGCGCCTAGAAAAGCTACATTAAGGAATAAAAAATGGGACTCTTAATAAG